ATCGCAAAAATCGAGGGTGACCTTATAATTATGAAACGCACTGTATTGTTTAATGCCAAAACAACCGAAGTGACATGATGTCACTGCTGACAGGAATGTAGGACGGACTCATTGGCTTCAGCCGTTTAAGGTCTCCCATTTTCGCTTACCAGTCTAGAGCAATTTTTATAGCTGAATAGCTACTGCCACCTCACAATCTTCATCACCTATTGAAATGTCTGGTTCCGTTTTGATTACGAAAAGTGCGGATGCATTCGTAGCTCTCGCCTTAAGATGTTTCTTCACAATCCACATTCGGTTATATAATAACAAACTTCACTAACCGATCTCCCGTTTCACCTATTCTCTGCCCCACATAGAAGTATCAACCTCGCACGGTTGGCATAAGCTTCTTTGATGCCCTGCATACCCAATGTTTTCAGCAAAATGTAGTCCATGCGATTTTCTTGCCTTCCCATGTCTCTTATTTTTCGGGTTGATGGAGAAACATGATGACAACTGTGTAGGTAGCAATACTTCGGCAGCTACGAACTATTTTAGCTCGAACGAGTTCGGGTAGTCCGCATTGTTGTCATCCACCTTTCTTAATTATATAATAGATCGGCAAGAAAGCTGTGCGACAAAGAGAAGATTATTTTCGGTTCATTTTCAGAGTTTATCGAGATATTCTTGAAAAAGAAAAGCACATGGTAGTCGATAGGGGCATGTTTTGTCTGATGAAAAATATGGGAACGAGTGAGAACGCTTGATTTCTGATGGGTCCCGAAAATTCGAAGTTCTGTAGGTACCTGAGTTCCGGATGTCCTTCTCTAACCGAGTCGGCAATGTTGGTGTTCGTAGGGGGATGTGATTGCTGTCACTGTTTAGTCAGCGTTTAGCAACTCATAGTGGATTGGCTCCTTAACGCCTGCAAAACTATGAGGTGGTGCTTGTGTACTTTGAAGGCTAATATCTCATGTAGCGGTGCGGTTCAACCAAGTGCTTACCCTTGATCGATGAACAATGCTTCCAGCGATTAGGTCACCGATATTTTCATCTGCTACACCTGCGCTTTTCCCCTGACGTGTCTAGTAGAATGTGCTGGACGAATGTGGCGAATCTGATTTGGCCAGTCATTGATGAGAAAGTTGTGAAAACCCACAGGCGTGCCCTTGTTGACTGCATTGTGTACTGTGATATCCTGATTTCTCAAGAAAGTGGAAGAAGTTTATTTCTCTTGCTACCGTGTACACACTGTTCATACAAAATCCAAACGCCCCGAACTTTTCTTGTGACAGAACCTTCTTGCCAACCTTTTCATTTGCAAGCTTCGCGATAACATCTCTGTTTAATACAGAGGGGCAGGGCCTCTTAGAGTACACGCATCAGACGCGTTAAGCCACAATCTTTCATCACGGAAATAGATAGGTTCAGCCATTCAATTTCACTTCATTGAATCTTGGAACTACTTACTACACAGATTCGTTGACACGAAGACCTTCCGGCAATTTTTCAGGCTATTGCATTCTCAAGAAAGACTCGTCTGTTTTCCCTTGAAAAGCAAATTAACAATCGACGCCTCAACTTAAATGTCAAACCATGATAAGCATCGGTTAATTTTGGTCTCGCGTGGAAAGACAGGGTGCAGCAAAAGTTCTGGCAATGGCAAATATGATAGCAAAAACGGTCAAATCGATCGATACATTATACTACTCTAACAGCATTTATGAACAGCTATATAGATCACAAAAACAAACTAGATCTCTTAATAGCCTCCTCTGGCAGGCTAAAATTCAAATAAAATTCAAATACAGGCTAAAATTCTCCTAAGAAATGCGCTGACGGCGGCACGGAGGTAGTCTTCGTACGAATCCTCCCATGCTTCAACGAGGGTTGCACGTAGAGCATCCAAACTTCTATGCTTAGTATAGCAGGCTATCATCTTAAGAACTGACCACACGGAATGGTCCAATGGATCTGGGCCTGGACTGTATGGGGGTCAATCGTTCGGCGAAGTGAAGTCTGGGAGGTGCGTTGCGCACCAGTCTTGTACTACTTTGGAACTGTGTGCTGGAGCTGAGTCCTGTTGATAAATCCATGTCGGGTTGCCGAAATGGGATTCAGCCTAAGGTAGTAACTCCTTCTCCAACATGCCTTTTAGATAGGTCGT